CGGCAGGCTGTCGAGAAACGGAGGCATTACATGGGGGGAAGGAGCGGGGCAGCCCTGCACCCCGAGCCCAGGGCTGTGGGGCTGCCTGCTGGGCTCGGTGCCGCAGCCTGAGGGAACAGCTGCTTGCCTGCAGCTCTTGAACCTCAAATGCTTAACGGGAAGAAGCAGGGGAAAGAAAAAGAAACCAGGCCAAGATAATTTTCCCTGCTGGTGTTCCTGATGCAGTCAGTTCAGTCCCTTGGAAATTTGATTTGCAGCCATGGCCAGCGAGGTATTGGAAGCTGAGTGTGCTTCAATAATTCATCAGTTTTTAAAGCCTCTAACCTGGCTGGGCACAGCTAGGGAAGCCCCTGGCACCTCTGCATTAAAAGGATGCTAGAGATTTCCATGCACAGGCTGGTCCCCTCCTCCCCCCACCCAGGCCTGGCTTATTTGCCTTCATTCCTCTCTAGGGCACAACCAGGTTCACGTTGCTCCAGCGCTGCTTTCGGAGCTGCTGCAGAGCTGGAGCTGCAGGTGCCAGGGTCTCAAAGCAGCATCAGCCATGCAGGCCATGCAAGCGGGGCTGGCACTGCCCTGTGCCCACCCTGCCCGCTGGGCTCCTACCAGTGCTCCGGGGAAGCTGGGCAGGGCAGGGCTGGCCGGGCATGCCGGTGCGTCCTGGGATGCGTGGAGATAAGGGGGGAGCGTTAGTCAGGGCTGCTGACCTTCGGGCACAGGGGGCTCCGTGGGGCCTGGGGGCTGTGCCCAATGAGATGTGGCTCCTCAGCATTCCCGGCCATGTGGGCACTCAGGGGAAACAGCCACATGGAGCTGCTAGGTCCCCACCTGCCCAGGAGTGTCCCCAGCACCTGCAGGGCCTGGGCAGGCAGTGGGGACACATGGGAGGCCTGCAGGGAATGGGGTCACACCCGGCAGAGTGGGTAGGCTGGCATGTCCCCTTCACAGGGACATGCTGGGACAGCTGTGGGAGATGGACCCCATTAGCATCAGTGTCCCCACAGGAGGAGTAGGGTCTGTTCCCAGGGCCCGCCCCAGCCCTCTCCTGGCAGTGTGACCTGAGGTGGCAGCTGAACCATGTGGAGATGTTGGATAAGGTCACATGGGTGCCCACCGAGAGGATGTCCCTTAGCTTCCGTGCTCTCTCTGCACGGAGCACCCCGGATTGCCCCGTGGCACCCACCTGCAGGTAGTGGTAGGCCAGGTCCTGGTGGCAGGACTTGGATTTGAGCAAGGCTTTGTCGATGGTGGCGGAGGCCTTCTGGCACACCTCCCGGGCATGGCTGAGTGTCAGCGTGGACCAGGAGCCCCGCTTGATGTAGTTGGAGTCGTTGTTGATGGGGATATTGGTGCAAGGGGTGACCTTAAGGTCGTTATTGCTCTTGGAGGATTTCAGCATGTGCTCGCTGATGGTGTTGTAGGCGTGCATGAAGTACTTTGGCTGGCTGTGGTCGGGCTGCCGGCCCAGCGTCATCAGCCCCATGGGGTTGCGGTAGCTGCAGGTGTCGCTGTCCAGGTTGTCATCAGAGCTCCACCAGCCCGAGATGTTGGACCTGGTCCTGCGCTTGGGCTCGGAGGTCTTGGCCCGGTCCTTGCTCTTGCTCCTCCGGTTTTGTTTGTTGTCATCTGCCCCCTTCTTCCCGTTCACGTTGCCCTTGGCGGGGCCCTCCAGGGACTGGGACTTGGCGAAGAGCTTCTGCACGGAGTGCACCAGGTGCCGGATGCGGCCCGGGCTCTCGCTGCGGTGCTTGGCGTCGCTGCGCTGGAACTGCAGCGTGCTGAAGCCGTCCCTGTGGATGGGCAGCTGCTTCTCAAACTGGTCGAGGAGGTTGGCAGGCAGGCGGTTGATCTTTGTGGCTTGGGCATGGCTCGGAAAAGGGTTTTCATCCGGGACCTCGAAGTGGGAGTTGTAATGGATGCGGGGGAAGGTGCTGCTGTTGGAGATCTGGTTGTTGAGCGGCAGGAGACAGTCGCCGTGGACGGTGTTCTGGGCCGGGAATCGGGGATCCATGGTGAAGGAGTCGGTGGGGCTGAGGAGATAAGGGTTCCTGTCCTGGGGGGCATAAAGAGAGTCTTGAGGGGAGTCCAGGTTTTCGGAGAGATGGCGGCTTCTGTTGTCTCCTAAGCCCTTCATGGTCCCGGTGCTTCCTAGACCATGGCTCAGGGACGGTGTGGCAGAGCCCTCGCAGACCTCCCTGCAGCTGGAGGAAGAGAGAGCACTGTGAACCCCTCTGGCAGCCCACTCCTCACTGGGGACACACCCCTGTCCCCCTCTGAAAGCAAATGCCACCACGGTTAAGGGACAAGGGAGAGAAGCAGGATGGCAGAGGCAGGAGGGGAGGAGAAGGGATGTGAGACCAGGAGCTGGAGAGAGCAGGCCCAGCAGAGGAGGGGCAGGATTCACGTTCCCACTGCAGCTGCAGCGCTCGTGTGCCTCAGTGCCCAGCCACAGGCTGCTCAACCACACTGCTGCTGCTGCTCTGCTGCTGCACGTGGGTTTGGACAGCGTGACAGAGGCACTGCCAGCAGGGCCCTGCTCTGCCCATCTGCTCAGCAGGGAGCAAAGCCTGCTGTCAGAGCCCAGCAGGTCCTGCTGAGCCCAGCCAGTCTGGAGCCAGGCAGCCCAGCTTTGCAGGGTGCCTGGTGTTCCCAGGGGTTCCCAGGGGATGGATCCCAGGGCTGGCACAGCTCCCACAGCTGTGCTAATGTGACACCATGGCAAACACCTCCTCTGCAGCCAGTGCTGCCTTTCTGGCAGGTGCTGCCCTGGAGCACAGTGTGTCAGTAGCTCCATAAGAGCTGAGGTGTTTCTGAGCACTCAGAGCCTGACCTGAGAAGCTGTTGGCTGCTCAGACAATTATTCCTGCTGGGCTGCACCACTCCTGGGGATCTGTGTCACCTGTGCCAGCCCCAGCCAGCCCCTCTGTCCCCTCTGCCACAGTGAGGGGCTGGGGTTGGTCCTTTCCTTTCAGCAGGTACAGAATCCCTGTGGCTGGTGGAAAGGCAGCTGGGACACAGGGATCCCCTGAGGGATCCTCACTGAACATCGCCCCAGTGGTCTTGCCCCATCCTGCCGGGTTCAGAGGGATCCTCATCTTTAGTGTGTTATACAGGGAAAAATGACAAACCTTTTGGGTTTGCTTAAAAGAAAGATCAATGAACATTTATATGTGTTGAGCTGTCAGTCAATAAGTTGATTTTCCATACTCAAAACCAACTTAAAATCACAGAGTGTATAAATGAACTCTTATTTCCTGTTACCTTTTAGTTTAGTTTCTTAGTTCCTTTTTGGTTTAGTTTGAGTGTTGCTCAAAAAGGAGAAATTGACTTTTAACAGATGCAGAGGGTATGTCCCTGTGAGGAGCACAGGTGGCAGTCTGTGCTCCTGCCTTCTCCTTTTCAGCCATGAATGGGTCTCCAGTCTCCAGGAACTTGTCCCCCATGTGCAGCCAGGCCAGCAAAGTGGTGTGGGAGTGGAGTGACCACTGCAGGGTGGCAGGAATCCACAGGCTTGTCTTCCTCACTCAGGGAAAAATGCATTAATAATGAAAAGCAGCCAGAGCTTTAAATAATTGTTTGGAAGCACAAAAAGAAAAAGAAGTGGAATTTATTCCATGGCTTGATGGGCTTTGCAGTCTCCATTTAACTCTGTCACTCCCAGTGGGTTGGCAGAGCCAAGCTGGGCTTTGTAAAGCTTCAGTGAGCTCAGCCTGGGCTTCCCATCCCATCAATGGAGACCCCAGCCCCCTCCCCTGAGCCTGCTCTGAGGCTCCTGCCCAGGCTGACCTCAGAGCCCTGGGCACTGCCCACTGCTCCTGCACCCCTGGCAGCTTCCCAGCGCTGGTCCCTGGGCATCAGGGCCATGGGGCTGCTCCTGACCCAGCCCCTGCCCCATGGCTGCTCCTTTCCGCCTGCTCCAAGCTGTGCCCTGCCCCTGCTGGGCTGTGCTGCTCTGGAGTGAAGATTGGCCCCTCTCCCCCACACAGACAGTGCCCTGGCATTTGGGGATGGGGACATGGCCTGAGCTGGGAAGTGTTGACACCAAACCTGAACTGTCTGCCCAAACACCAAATGCAGCCTTAGCCTTGACTGGGGCCCAGCTGCTTCTGGTCCCTGAGGGTGCAATCCCAATTCCCCTGGGGGTGCAATCCTAATGCCCCTGTGGGTGCAATCCTAATTCCCCTGGGGGTGTGATCCTAATTCCCCTGTGGGTGCAATCCTAATGCCCCTGTAATTCCCCTGTGGGTGCAATCCTAATTCCCCTGTGGATGCAGTCCTAATTCCTCTGTGGGTGCAATCCTAATTACCCTGGGGGTGCAATCCTAATTCCCCTGCGGGTGCAATCCTAATGCCCCTGGGGGTGCAATCCTAATTCCCGATGTGCTCTCCAGCAGCATCAGCCCCCTGGAGTCCCCTGCCCATGGGACCCACTGGGCTGGTGGATCTGGGGTGATGCTGGCTGGGGGTGCCAGCAGGGAGGCTCAGGCTGTGCCAGCTGGCACCCACAGTGCCCACAGAGAGCCCCAGGTGATGTTCCCAGAGGAACCCTCCAGGCAGGAGGGAAGGATGGGGTGTAGGACAGGCTCCAGGCTGAGTTATTGATCTGAATTCCAAATGGCTTTGGATGGCCACGCTCCACCTGCACACCTTGGAGAGAAGCCCTGCAGGAGGCAGAAGCTCAAATCCTCCCTGAACCCCAGCCAGGCCCAGCTCTGCCTGCCACAGCCACTCTCCCTCCCCTCCTTCCCCCAGTAAATCCCAGTGAAATCCTTCCCTTGTGCCCAGGGCCCTCCTGCTCCGAGGCATGCTGTGGAACCAGGCTCACAGGAACCACCACAGGAACCCTGAGGAGACTCCACACCTGATTTGATTGCAAAGGGATGGCTCTGGGTATTGACAGTAAATAGATCTTTGCCTTCTGAGAGCAGGTGATATTTGAAGCAGGAGTCTCCTCCTAAGGCAGCTCATGACTGCCTTGTGCTCGCTGGACTCAGTGATTTTGGGATAAACCCAAACTGCCTTAGGAATCAAAGGAAGTGGGGACATGAAATGGAATGAAGCAATGCAGATCAATGCATGCAGTGAAGGTCTGGTGTGCACAGGAGGAGCAGAAGGGCCAAGGCCAGGCTGGCTCCAGGTGCTGGAGAGGCAGAGGGGCAGGGAGAAAACCCTGAGGGGCTGAGGATGAGTGGGAAAGGAGAGAAGAGAAGGTTTTGGAGGGGCAGGAGCAGAAAGGGTGGGA